ATATATATTGCTTTGAGAAAGGGGAGAAAAGCTTGTGTAATATTTTGTATTTTGATGAAAGAGAGGAAGAATTATCGCGGATTATATGGTATATATGTTTGGAATGGAACTTGCCAATCAGATTACGATATCCGTGTGGGAATACGTAGGAAAACGGCAAGTTACGTGACACTGAATAAAACAAATCTTTGACCTGATAAAGTTCGTGATCCGAGTTACTGCGAGGGTGGATGATGGAAACTTGAGAACCGAGAAAGCCCAGGGGGCTGCCTTTTCGTCGATCGCAATTCCATTTGCGTTCGTACAGCAACGTAAGGGGCGAGAGAGATATAATTTGTACTACGTATATAACACGGAAATAATTACGTTTCTTCGATATATTCGCGCGTGTGCAATTTATCTTTGAGTATGTATTTTATCGAATCTGCGTATGGTGTAATCTCGATTAATTTCATCTGTGAACGTAACGTGGCCATTTTAAACAGTGAAATTGCTCGACCTTATAAATTAAAAATTAATGCTTTCCACTGTTCGAAAAGTCGAGGAGTCTATGCAAAGCGGTTTCAATTATTCAAATGTACACACAGACGTAAAAATTGAATTCAGCTACTAGTAAAATTATATCTACTAATATATATCTAACTTGCACTCGAGATATTTTGAATAAAGTTTTTCTTACAGGAAAATTATATTTTTTCACGAAATAAATATGGATGAAATATCTTTACATAATGAAATAAATTAGCAAGACCGATACAATACTGACGCAATAGCTTTTTATATTAAATGAAGCGATTTTTTTCCTGCCATATATGAATTGTAAAATGTATTCACATTGTACAATTGTATATATAGTTTATTAATTATATACGCTAAAGCTTGAATATACATATATTCTAAATGAATCCATTACGTTAATATGCGCGCGTATAGAGAAAATCGCTTTTATACATTTGCGTAAATTTGAAAGATGATATTCATCCACTAAGGAATAATAAAATGCCGTAAAAAATAATTGAGACAAATAAATGCCACCACGAGATACAATCTGAACGCACTAATAAATTTCCCGTCCGCAGCTTCCCAGGGGAGACTTTCCTGTGGGTTTTTTCGCTACATATGCCATTGCACATTTGCTCGGCTAATAGCGCGTGTCCTAATGACAAATTCTTTAACGATGATAAATGTTATTCTCCTATAAAGAGAGAGAGAGAGAGAGAGAGAGAGAGAGAGAGAGAGAAATTATTATATTGATTTAATGTTGTATCTTTACCGAAATATCGAATCATCAAAGATGTAGCGAGCTATCTAGATTGATCTTTCTAAATATCAATAATACCGTTTTCGTTATTTTCATATTATATTTTAGTCAATCATAATCGTTTCGAACGACGAAATCTTAGCTATCAATGTCCGCTGTGAACGGAAACGGAATCCTTTCGTAGCTCGTAGAGAGGGTAGCTACAAGTCGAAAGGGATTCCTTTCGGAAATCCAAGAGGATTTATCCGACGAATTACTTCCGGTGTACTTGACTGAAGACGAGTTAGCTCAGCGGCTAGTATTCGGATTCTGTTGGTTTGCTAACATCGCGCTGAAATTTCGAATAGCGAAATGGATGCGCTGGAGAAGGAGATGGAAGTAAAGGAGGCTGTCTACGACCACTCACTAACGTTTATTCGTAAAGTCCGTCGACTAGCGACGGTGGCAAACGTCGTCGTCGACGAAACTCGTCCGACGAAATTAAGCTCCGAAACTGCAGGCGCTCACGAGTTCGGCTTTTACCCGCGGAACTTGAAGCGCTTTTCGTGTACTCGGCACTTTCCCGCCGTCGGCTCCATTTATTTATCCTATCTGTTCGACTCGAGTTTAGCCAGAACGAACGTCTGCGTGTAAGAGCTTACACGCAATTTTGGTCTTTCACGACCTACAACCTACAAAAAGCTCCGCAACCGCATTAACAGGTTCATAGGATATACGACTTACTGTTACGATGTGGTTTTGAGTTCATTCAATTTCGGATTTGTGTATTTTACGAAGTAGAGAGATAAATCGTAAAATATCAAATCCTAAAAAGAAAATGATAACACAAAATTTAGATATATAAACTATAATTAAATTGTAATTGGTTATATCTATATTAAATAATTAATAGAGATGTAAATTTATCAGAAGGCTAAAATAACACAATAATCGAGAAAATTAAAGAATATATATGCGTTTGATAAAAATAAGCAGTTATACACATGACAACAAACAAAATTTTAACTAAACTTACAAAACTTAAAGAGCGTTTTTTTAAAATTGCAAATTTTAATGCAATAATTAGTTTACTATTTCAGTCAATAGCTTATCTACAAGAAAGAAAAATGTATACCTTGATTTATCTAACGTTCAACAGGTTCCAGTTTCGATTTATAAACGTCTTCCTTTTTTCTTCATTTTCTCACAATATATAATGTACATTTTTTAAAAATATCTTTGCTATATAAGTAAACTAAATTTACAAAATTTATAAATTTCGTGGTTTAATATATTATTTTAAAATTGATTAAAAAGAAAAAAACACTCAATATTTATTGATATTCCCATTTTATCGCAAAGATGTCATAATGCGATCGTATTACACCCAAACAAGCCTCATATGATTCATTGTTGTGACAGCACTGTTGCATTACAATGTGATTACATTACAATATCACCCCGGAAAAGCGTGTTTTCCCGCAAGTAGAAATGCAATTCTCTAATTTTGCAAAGCGGAAAAATATTTATTTGTAGCATAAAGGACACAGTTGGGCGGCAACCATGCGACTCATTATACCGTCGTTTGTCCTACACAATTTTCTCCTTCCGTCTACGCTTACATTGCCATAGAATTACGTAGCTGCGCGGCCATTACATTCGCGGGATCCTTTCACGAGCAATTAAAGGAAATCCCCTTAATCTCAACGGCACGTTCCGGAAAAACTTTAGTGCAGCCACATTTCTCAAGAACTACTTTTCCGCGATATAACGCGGTTCAGGAAGAAATAGAAAGGGAGAGAGAGAGAGAGGAGCTTGCTTCGTCGCGAGAGGCTGTAATACCGTCGGATTACAACGCCAGCGATGCCAGACAGCCCACAGTGAACGAAAAATCTCGAGAGCGAATGCCCTATTTTCCATTATAGCGACATGCGCCGCTGTTCTTTCTCTATTTTCACATTTCCTCTTTTTTAGTCGTCTTCCTCGACTGTAGTTTCCACGCCAGTTTTCAGTGAAGGCCGAAACGCAGCTCAGCCGACATCCGTCTGCGTTGTAGATTTTTTTCCTGTCTTCTCCCAACCCTTCCTCTCCCTTGTGTCAAATGCAGAATCAAAGATGATTTTAAAAATTTCCATGCTGGGACAAGCTCGGGTGACTACTTTCAATTCAATAGCCGCCCTCTCATTATCATCACTGTGGCTAAGCTAGCGATATTGATTATGAGACGGAGAAAAATAATTTACAGAATATCGTAAATTAATATACTCGCACTTAGTAAAATATCTATATTTCAGAATTAATACAGTTAGAACATTAATTAATATATAATTATTAGCAAATGTTATTATTTGCATCTAGATTCCGTTTATATCTGTGTCATCGATATTAACTATTTAGATTATATTGTAAACTAGATTTCAGAATAACAGAAATACGAAAATATGTTTTACATTTATTCGTGACAATTCAAAACGCAACTGGTTTAAGGTAAATTTTCGTGCCATATTGATCCTACTGAAGGAATATCTTTTTATGTAACTAATTAGCTTAGAAATTAATTATATTTTTTCCCATAAACTTCTTTCAAAATTAATCTGTCTCAAAGGCGAAAATTGTTAAGAACTGACAATTCACTCTCGATGTATGATCGTTCTTTTACTTTGTTTTTTCCGTCCTCTCTTTTATAAGCAGTTTATTTCAGAGTTCTTTTAGGGATATGACATAAGAAGAAAAAATTAAGTATCATCATTCTCTCTATTTCTCTCTCGGCGGGAAAAAAAGTTTTTTTCCACAAAATAGATCGAGATAAAATCCAAGTATTTAACGCCAGTACCATGCTCGAGATTGCTCGTAATTAGCTTCGCGGTATTTTTAAAGGATTTAGAAAAACTTGAGCGAAGCTCGCTCTCTCTCTCGCAACTTGCTCGAGGGTTGTACTTAATATCAAAAGTTGATCCTACCACGACAAGAGCGCGCGAATAAAAGTCCGGCTAGGCTTTTACGATCACCTCTCAGATTGTAAATCAGATTAGCTTTTTATAAGACACTTTACACTTACTTCCGCTCGATTTTGCTCGATTTTCTGAGATCGCGTAAACGGTAACAATACCGTCGCGGAATTGATATTTTGCATCTCGTGGAGTTTTGGAAGCGCACGAGGAAACTATTCGGCTACCGATAAAACGTGAACGGCGATAAATCACAAGTACACACACACACACACACATACTTCGTACTCGATCGTTGTGTTTGCTGGTATTTTCGGCACTCGCAGGTGGTTAAACCACCGGTATACGAAGTATGTAAAAAGATCTATGGAAACATGTTTCTCTCTGTGACAATGTCGACCGAGAATCGTAGTGTTGGTAATAGTAACACTACAGTGTGACGTTTCTGCAACAAGAGACTGATACTTTTGTACGCCTTCAATAGAGATCGAAACTTTAATAAATAGCGCGACTAACACATTTTCATTTTGTAAATAAAAAATAATTATAATTCCGGAATTACATTATTTCATACAAAAAAAATTGAATTTTACATTGTATTTTATATATTGTTTGTAAACATCGAATAGTTGAGTCAACTGAAAATATTTCCTAAACATTTTTGCGTTATATATAAAGTTTATTATTAAATAATTTTCCAATATTAACTTTCTTGTCATATTTTACTTCATTATTTATTTATTTCATTTTGATACGATTTTAAATTTACCTTTTCCCTTGCAATCTAACTAACTGTAACATTAAATTTTCAGAGAAGCGAAGACAAGGGATGAGCCGACGAGAAACGAGCGACGACACGAAGGGATTTAACACCCTTACGGATTCGGTTCATCAAGCTGTAAGTTTACAAATCATTACTACAACTATAGTATTTTACGTCTTCTCTTTGTTCAAACTCAAAGTATGACTCGAGTTTTCCTTCATATTAAGCGAACAAATCTCTCTTCGAACTTGGTCCGAATGTGTTGCCGTTGCTGCAATAATAATGAATTACATTTCGGAGCCACTTTACAATTTTCCGATGAATTTCTTTATTTCACAGCACGATATCGTGCTCTCTATCATTATATGATCATAAACGTAGCGGCGCGCATTAAGCTGTGCATCAAAACGATAAAACGCGTAATTGCGCAATTTAATATTCTCACAGAAACGGTAAGTTATCCTTCTCATTTCCAAAAGATATGACACGGGAACAAAACGCAATAAAAAATGAGTTAGTGCGATGGTTGCTCTTTATTCGCACACATTTAAAATTTAATCTACATTTTCTAGTATATGTATATATGTTAAAAAAAAATTAAAACTCTAGAATTAGAAAGAGTAAAAAGAGTATAATCTGATTACATTTCTCGTATAAAATTTAATGAAAATTATATACGAAATCTCTTTAAATATATTTTTGCTAAAGAGACAACTACTTTTTAACGGCTTTCATCATTTTTGTTTCTCATCCAAAAAAAACCGTTCACCACGAAAACGATATAGCGCGATGAACTGCACACCATATAACCCGCCCCCGTTCGGAAACGATCGATACTTTACCCCCAAACTCTTGAAAGTTATACAAAAGCAGCTGTCGCAAAGGGGGAGAAAGAGAAAGTCGGCGAACTCTGGAAAAACAAAGTTTCAGAAGACAAGAACTCTATTCGCCTTAAGTCTAACGTATCAATCGTGTAATCGATGCGGCATATCTTTGTATAATCTACTTGGAACTACGATTATATAATGTTGAGTGCTTATAAAGCACTTTACCTATCTACTGATATCGCAATATAATAGATATTTTATATTTCTCTTTCATAATTTCATTTTATCATTATTTTACATACGTAGGTATATGCTGATTAAAATTTATACGAATTTATATGAATTTCAAATAACGTTTTAGCAAAAGTCGAGTAATAAATTTAAACATAAAGCATCGCGCTAATTAATATAACATCAACACTATACACGACACATTCGGCATATTAAACTAAAATGAAATAATAAAATGATCTCACGAGGTAATATTTTATTTAATTTCTCGTGTGTCGCTCGCGCAATACATATTAAAGTTTTTAATCCGTTATCTGGCAAGATTGATTTATCCAAATGGCTAGCTCTGAATTATGTCTTCGCTAATGAACTTGCTCAGTCGCTTGCAAATTTCACCACCTTTCTTACATAGCCGGAGACAAATATCTTCCGTGCGAGCAGGATGGTACTCGGAAATGTGCCCGCCTGTGCATCGCACAGTCGCGCATGCTGTCGTAAATGCATTAAGGCGTGATCCGAGACCCATCTTTTCTTCCTAGCAAGCCGGAAATAAGTTGACGCGTAATCCAAATTCATTTAGGAAATTACGCTCTCGGCGACAAATTTACAGTACGAATTACATATACATACATATATAATATCATAGCAGTTGCGAGAGTCATTATATATTTTATAGTCGTAATTAATTTAGCTGAGGAAAGCAAGAAAATAATATACAATTAAGAGAAAGGGAGGGAGAGTTTATATAATAATTTAATCGAAAACTTTCGTAAAGATTCAGAAATTTTCTTCTTATACTGAAATTAATAAAGCGCTTTTAATATACTAATTGAAATTTAATGTTTATTGTTGCGTAAAATCTGTCGAGATATTTTATTAATTACGTAATGATTAAGTTCCCTCCTTCATTGTTCTCCAACATGAGTAAATCTTGGCGAATATTCATCTTACGATAAATTTCCGTAATAGAATTGAAAGGAGACAACATTTCCCCTCAGCGGATTCAACGTGATTACTCAACGACGAAATATTCCGACATGGTTAAGCATCGATAATACTATCGACAAGAGATATTTTATGGGAATGCTTTACATTGTGATTTTATGTTCTATTCTCTTAATTAGTAAAGTGACCTCTCTCTCTCTTTCTCAAAATCCATCTCTTGTTTTCTTATCATTATATTCTATCTTATATTGCCACGTAATTTCACTTTTTAATATCATTCTTTTTTCTCTTTTCTTTTATTCCTTCAATTTCGGCCTTTGCATCGCATATCTATATCTATTCATAGAGAAAATTGTTCCCTTTCGATGCAACCCTTTACATGCAACTATCTTTATCTGTGAACGCGCGTTCTTTATGCCGCCAATTTTCTTTTCATCAGTATATATGTGCCCATCGACACGTGTTATTCGCTTTTTGACCTCCCTTTATGTTTTTGAAAAATCGGTGACGAGTTTTGCTTCGTACCGAAACTCGACGAAGAGAATCGGGGTCGGACAAAAGGAAAACTGGACTAAAAAGGCTGAACTTTCACATTGAGCTGGAAAAGTTCGTTGTAAAACACTCGTATAACGTTTCGAACGGATCCATGGTTTTGCTGCCTTTTACAACTCACATTCCTAACACTTCAATAATCATTTAATTAATGGCAGCGAAAAAATATAAAAGCGTATTATATATTATATTATTTCATGTTTTAAAATATTATTTACAACTGAAATTGAACAACTTATAAAATAATTTTTATTTTCTCGACTTTTCAATTTTCTATCATATTAATCTAAAGTGTAATTAATTGATATTCATACTGCAAATAACTTTAATCGATTGCAGTGAAGAATGTTCGTAAATTGTCAGAGATTAGTAGAAAAGTTATAAAACTATGCTTATTAACCATTTAATAAAATCGATTAAGAATACCGATTGTCGAGTATAGCCCGTTTGATTAATTATTTCTTTACTTTACTTCTGTCAGATCCAATTTACTGAACATAATGTTATCTAATACATATGTATATAAATATTATTATAAAGACTATATATGTATATTTGAGAAAATTCACTCGAATGTAAAATTTTAAAATTTACAAGAAAAACTAATATAAAATATAATAATAACAGACAATAGTCAGAAACATTGTTGAATATGCAACCGTGAATTTGGATCGTTTTTCTTTCAAAATCTCTAGATAACTCCAACTGCTTCTCAATGTCGATCTTAACTTTCTCGAACGTGTAAGCTGTCACATTTATGCAATTTACCACATCGCAAGTACGTTTGGGATACCTATATTGAGGCGGAACAGTTCGCTCGAATGTTCGAGTGCGAGAAACTCGAATTTTTGTTGTTTTATTTTGTAGCGTTCTCATTCTGTGACATCGCACGACGACGACATTCGTCTTCTCAGTGGAGTCGTATCTAGGGAGATGGCGAGAAATAAAACTTGGAATTTATAACGTATACATCACATGCTACGTACTAGTGATTTTTTTTCTATTGCAAATGATACTCAACGGTGGTGAATATAATTTTAGAGGCAAACCACTTTTTCCACCGATATGTGTACGATAAAAAATGGCTATTTTTTGCACCATGCGTTATTGGTTTTTTTTTATACCTGCATGAATGTGGCATATATTTTATTTTAGTCTGTTTATTTTATTATCGTTACGAAAAAAAAATCGTATTTATCTTCTGGGATGTAAACTTTGTTTTAATACTATATTGAAACAAGCAACCCAATTTTGTGCCCTTTGTCAACTTCAGGATTTGTATCAATATAGATTTGTGTACCAATATATATAGGAGCTTTAGCATATATACATATCATACATATCATACATATAATATATATATATATATATATATATATATATATATATATATAACAAAAACACCGTATATTATAATATTATAGACTTGGTATATTCAGATATTTATTCGCAAAGATTCCAAATGCAAAATTAGAAGTACCTTGGCATATTGTTTGCGAGTGTTTCTATTTGAGTGTTAAAATTGAATATTTGGACTTTGGTTGACGGATCAACTTTGCCAATAACATATGTAGTTTGAAACACGTAGATGTGATTGTGGAGTAAACACTAAGCTATTTATAAAATTACAATGTACAATTTCATATGCAATAGATACGTGAATAATGTGCCAACAACAGAATGCCTGCAGTTTATATAATTATATACAAATTAATATAAACACGTTCAAGCATCCGATTCATAATTAAATTTCCAAATATTAATAATGAAATATTTCATGTGTCCAAATATTAATAATAATTATTTATAAGTATTATTAGCGATTTTTTTTATTAAAATACGAAAACTTAACACATTAGAAGATTTTTACAATATTTACGACAATCAACGAATGAAAACTGCGACGTTTATTTAAATATTTTAATTTACCGGGAACATTATTTTTTTACTATGACAGTGAATAACAGCGTCGTAATCCTAATGTTTGCGTTGCAAGTTTTTTTCTTCAAACGCAAATTTCTCGCTGCAGGAACGAAATGACAAACGACTATGATATTCTTATGAGAAGTCGCAGTTGTAATTCCGTAGATAACTATGAGTTTTGACTACCTCGGATATACGGAAACGCTTCGTCTTTATCAACGTCTCTTCCGACTTGGTCGGAAGAAATAGCAACGAGCTCTCGTCGTTATGACAAATGATGGATGATCCTAACATTTCATTAATGCAAAAGTGCAAGATGAATTAATAAGCTGAGCGACATAGTTTCGCTTTTCAGTCAACTTCTACTTATGACGCAAATTTGAAATAAATGCGCGTAAACAATGGCATTTCTCGCAGTGAAAGAATTATTATGATAAATAAATAAAATTGTGCTGTGTCTATTAACTTGCACCGTAATGTCAATTATAAAATAGGTATATAATGCAATATATAATTTGCAACGCACTTTACTTCTAATCATTGATCATCTCGTGATGCGATAATAACCAAGTGTCACTTCACGTCATGTATCTTCTCGAAATTTACGGGTGGAATGTGACAGTAAAGTGTCGCGCCGTTGCAAACGAAATGTATATCGTCGTATAAATCAAACGTGAACGCGTCGATGCGAAGCTCCAACGTCGTACAAAGTTCGAATTCGCAA